ATTCGGCGTCCTCGCTGCTTTTCCTCCTCCGAGTAATATTTTGCAATAGCATTAATTACACAGTGTGCTTAGATTTCTCATACCACTATTAACAAATACTTGTTTACTCTGGCTTTCCTAATTTGAACTGAACCTGTGAGCTATATCCCATGTCGTATCTTTGAAAAATACTTGGATCCATTCTGTGCAAAGGTGAAATTTAACATCCTGTTTTGTCAGTAAGGCCAAACTGTTCCACAGCTTTAGGAAGGGCAGAAGTGCAGTCCGGTCTCAGTTTTCAGAGGACTACAACTTCTATGATCCCCAAGAAGAACTGGACTTGAGCTTTGACAGGGATAAACTTTGGGGAAAAGGAGGAGGTATAAAAAAAAATTCCCTTGCTTAAGCAAGGAAAGTAAACTTTGCAACTAATTAGGGAGCAGTAAACAGGGAGTAGTAAACTATCCTGGAGAATCCAGTGGAAACCCGTGATGGTAATACGAGAGAGGTCTGAAGGGCAAAGACAGCTCTAAGGAAAACTGTAGATTTACCAAGTAGAAGGACAACTAACCAGCAGTTTTTAAATGTCCAAGCATGGATGGCTAACAAGTTAAAAGAGAGTAAATTCTAAGGATCAAACATAGATTCTACTAAAGTGGAAGGAAAAGGAAGCCTGAAAGAATGAAGTGCTTGCCTCCGTGCCCAGTGCATGCCTGTGGTGCTCTAAAAGCACAGTGGGATGAAGGCTCCTGATCCCCCTGCACCAGGAGAAATGCCACGGTCAGGAGCGAGACAGGCGATAGGTGCTGGCTGCTTTTTAGAGCTTTATTTTTCTACAAGGGGTAACTGGAGAATTAAAGTGACCCGCCTGTCTGTGGTAGGGTGAGGTGGTGGGATAAGAAACTCAGATAGAGACTAGCTGATAGCAAGTAATAAGAGGTAGTTAAAGGCAGCCTTGTGTTTTCTGCGTCTCCACCTACAACTGTAATCTCTCCTCTGATCTCCCCTTTTCGAAACTGTAGGTGTTGGTGATGATCTAACCAGCACCTGACTCGACAACCACTTGTCCTTGGAGGGCTGGGTAGGGACAAAGGCAGCAGCATGGTGTGATGGGGGAGTGGCTGTCACCCTGGCGAATCCCTTGTGAGGATTGCCCAAAAATCTCCATAGGTTTCCTTTCAGTCTTAAACCACCCCCTCACATCCAATCAATGATGAACAAACTTGAAAGGCACAGTCTCTTGAGCTGATGTGCAGAGCAGAGAAGAGCTAAGCTCTGCACTACCATGAAAACAAGACAAATCATCTCTCTGATGCACTTTCTTATGTTTCTTGTGCATTCTGTCTTCCTTGCGTATCTCTATACAATGAATCTATATTGCAATGCCGGAAGGTCCTTCCCTCCCAAAATCAGAACAATATAGCCAAAACCATTAGAGGTTTAAAGAGATTCCCCCTGAAGTCTAAATTGTTGGTCTGACGTCTGCTGTGGCTGATTACACTAATCCTCAGGAACAGAAACTACCTTTTTGGAAATTAGCAATGGTAAAAAAAAAATAAGAATCTTACTAGCCCAGGCTCGTTACTGAAAATGCCCTGCACCCTTTGGGTCTGTTCATAATGTACTGGGGCTATCCAATAGCTCCTATGGGTTAATTAGGGGACAACAGAAGTCTTTGTTCTGATTTTGAACTGATATGAATACTAGATATAATACAAATGAGATTTGGAGGTTTTAAATATCAAATGTGGAACTACATGCATTTGAGATCTCCAGTAATTCCCTTTGAGACTGATTTTTTTTCCTCTAATAATTAGTTTTTCCAAACTCAGTGTTTTCCATTCTTGACTTGGACCATCTTGGCTTCATCAAAAATGGTTCTATATAGCATGTCTTTGAGTGAGGTTAGGGAGTAAATGTCTCTCTCTTATTTTAAGATTAATAATTTTGTTGAAAGTCTGATTTTGTTGAAAGACCATTTTGTTTAGACTAAGGTGTCACTGTACCCTTCTCTATTATGCCTGAACTAGTTCTGCCCCAGCTGGATGAAGCAGTTAAGTTGTAGCTACAAAGAACTTGACAAAGACTTTAAAAGCTGTCCAAGAAGCAGGATAAACAGCTTGAGCTCAGCTCTAGGTTGCTGGTAGGAGCAGGACTGGCCAGTTAGGGTGCATGTGTCCCAAGCTCCAGTGTAGATTTGTCATACATTTGGAAACTGGCATTGTCCTTGCCATGGACATAGCAGAAAGCTGCACGATTCTGGAAAGGAGGTCAGCTTTTTAAAAAAATTATTTGCAACTGCAGGTAACCCCTTCCTACTGTGTGCATCCCAGCTTTGCTACTTTTTTCCTGAGCAGGGCTGCTGCTTTCACTGCCGAAAGAAAGCATGGGAAATCCAAGTGCTGGTCTTTCATGGAGGGGGGAACAAGAGCTAGGGTGGGACATGGCTGTGGAATCAGTGAAGTGGGATGGTGTGTATATACAATGTAAACCAGGAGCTGTACTATAATATGAATTACAGCTCAGAGGTGCAATGCTAACTTCGGCTGCACAGAGTAATACAGAGACAGCGCTGTATTTTGTCTGTGTGGCCAGCAAGCAGGCTGTAATTTGTTTGTGTGCATGTAACTGTTTCAAAGTGTGCAGGATCACACCGCTGCTGGAGTAATTTGTCGTCTCTGCTGCTCACATAGCAGTGCCTGCAGCCCCCCAAGGAGCGTGCTGTGGCTTTGCTCGCCTCCTTTGTTGCTGCTTGGCTAGTTTCCCCCTTTCTTCTCTCCCTTCTTTTTCCTACTCTGACAGAATAGCCTTCTGGGAAAGGGAAAGCTGAGTATTTCTGAAGCACTGCAATGCAAACAACCCAGCTCCAAATGAACCTTGACTGGGAAAATCTGCTGCACAGCACAGCCATCACAGCGTGCAGTATGTGCAAGAGACTGGAAAAGACTGCCAGGCTGGTGAGAACCTCCCTAAGGACCAGGCATCCTCACACTCCTTTACCAGTACCAGCGTTTGTGAGAAATAGATTAAAACTGATTTGTGAATTAGTTTTAAAATGTTGATTTATTTTTGCTTGATCGGCCTGTAGACTGTGTAAAGTAAACATCAGTTACCAAATTATGCTGTACCACCTCCTCAAAGCCTCGTATGACTGATACGTGTAATGCAGGTGAATGGTGGTGTCCACGTTTTCCTAAGGGAAAACAGAAAAGCAATGCAACCTGCAATGGGGCACAGGGGAGATGATCCAGCATGTAGCTCCAGAGCTGTTTGCCATCAGATCTGTACTCTGGACCTTCTTTTGTTAGCTGAAATAAGCAAGTACATGCGTAAAACTGGATAGATGTGAGTTTCTAACTGAGAAACAGAACCACCAAGCAGCTAATTGGGAGGAGGCTAGCTCCAACTTGTCCAGCTGTTCTGTCCCAACAGCTTGCCTGATGGTGTAATACATTAAAAACAACAGTAATCCTGCTGTCCAGTAACGTGTATAGGCTAGTTACTATAATCTTAACTACAGCTGAAAGCAGAAATGCAGGAAGGAATCTCACAGGTAAAGCCAACCCAAATCTATAGCAACAAGTCTTTCAAAGGATTGACCATTGAGATGACAGACGCTAAGTTACAGTGGCTTCCACTGCTCACCAGAATTCAGGTTGCTGCCCCTAAATCAACAGTTTCATTCCTCATTTTGCCCTGTGGCAACAGCCAGCTACAAAAAATTGTAATGCAGTTTTATGCACGGAACTCGCTGGAGCTTCTGGGGCAACAGGTACTATGTCTTTTCTTGCCTCACTGTAAGTATGGCTATTAAAGAGAAGATATCACTGCTTGTTTCCAAATCTAGGGCGAAAGAATTATTAATTAATTTCTAATACAGGCTAACATCCTCAGCTATATGCCTTGGTTCCTGTGTTTGGGGATAAGAGATGGCAATAGCAATGGGATATTCTGATGCCAAAATAGTGCCTGGCCTGGAGCAGCATGGTCATTGCTGTCATCTTGAGCTTTGGGCTCTTCTGACAAGTACTGCTTATGGCCTAACTGTCTGAAAAACTGCCCCACATTCAGGATTGTTCCTATGACCCCTGCATCTCCTTGCACATTGCAAAGATTTCCTTGCACAATGCTTAAACAAAGGAAAAATGAGGTAGAACAGTCATCCAGCACCAGAGCACTTTGTGGTCAAAGTAATCCTGAAGAACCTTTCAAATCCATGCATGTCACCAAAATATAATTAAGATGCAGGGTTACCCAACAGAGCTCTTGATTCACAGAACTAGAAGCGACGAGCACCAGGAAAGTAATAGATTCTGTTGGGTAATGTGTGTGTTTGGACGCACAATCCTCCAAGCCAAGTCATTCTTGTAGGCCTGGGAAATCCTTGAATGACAAATTCTGCCATTGCCACAGGTCTTCATTAAAACACTGAGCAAAATCCTCTGCACTCCACTCATTGTGTAATACCAAGGAGAAAACACTGCGAGTAAAATCCTGCTCTAGTGGTTCAATTCCTACTAACAACTTCAAATAGATGTCTTTTATCCTTATGGCTGCAGAAACGAGCCCTTGGATGAAGCTTCTCTCAGCAACAAGTCTGATGAAGCACCATGTGCATCCGACAGCCAGCTTGGCACCACCTTGCCACATGCAGCACCTGGGATCCAACGGATGCTGTGCGCAAGTAGGCCTGAAAGGCTTATTAAGCTTTAATTAAACATTTAAGCTTCAAGTTTAGAAGGCCTCCATATGATATGTGTTGGTAATATGTATGCAACTATGAATGAGGAGGTAGGTCTTAAGCACTGTATTGTTGGTAAGCAAGCTAAAACTCTCTACTGAGAATAAGTATTTATATATGTGTGTATATATGTGAGTATGTGTGTATATATAGATATATTTTTAAAGCAAGACATCTGTCACAAGTAATGCTGCTGTAGCAATGAGAGCCTTGCTCCGGTTTGTGTCCAGTGCTGGGGCAGTTCCTCAGACCTGGGGCAGCTGCGCACAGGAGGAGGTCACAGAGGTTGGTGAAAAGAGTTTCGATCAGAAGAGAAAATCCTAGAAATTATGTCATAACCTAATGCTGACATGCGTGGAAAGAGCTCGGCAGAGTTACGTAAAGGACTGGTTGGTATGGTATAGGTTTCTGTGCAGGGAAGCCTGGCTTGGATTTTTCTTGGTGGCAAATATCTAGGAAAGAGCGGAGAAGTGGAGAGATATAACTTGAAAATTAATTTTCCCTATGGAAAGAATTGCATCCATTTCCCCATGTTTGTTTTTTTTCAGCTCTTTAGCCCTCTTCAGACCATACTGGCTGGCTAGTGAGTATTCTAGGAGTTTGGCAGAAGGTATGCAGAGCCAGACTTTGCTGCTCCTCTCTTCTTTCTGGATGCTTTCCTACAAATGCTAAAAAGCAACTCTGTAATATCATAGTTTTTCTTCTCACAGGCATCTATGCATGTTTTCTTGTTAGTAAGCACCATATGTCACTCTCTAAACGGCCCAGTACTGTATTTTCTGGGACCCAAGTGTGCGTGGTAAGTAACATCACAGCTCCTGCATATGATGTACCAGCTATACATTACACAAACTTCAATAAACAAGTCACTTTCAATCATTTCCCCCCTTTCAGAAATGCATTTATATATGTGTTTTCTTACCCATGGTGAAGAAGTGTTTAGAATATGTAATATGTCATTAAGGGTAACAGATGTATTTAATAAAGGCCTTTTTGGATGTCTGGCTGTTCATTGGGATAAAACCTTGAAGTCAGGGCAGTCAGTTCTGAAAGGCAACAGTCAATAAAAAAATTATTAAAAAAAACCCAAAACAACCTGAAACCCATGCCGCTATCCCTGACTGAAAATCTACAATGAAATGAATCACCCTTTTAACTAATTGAAAAATTCTTTAGACATGTTTCTCCTACAGCAACTGGGCCAGCATTTGGCTGATTGATGGGGCTTGTGAAATGATCTTTAGGACTTTCCACTCTGATCAAATATCTTCCCAACTCCTAAAGGTCCAGCTGGCCCGGAGATGGAGCGAGGGATGTCTTCATAGATCCCTGGGATGCATTCAAAAATGCAGTCTTTCTTTCAGCAATGTAAGTATATATAAGTCTTTGGTACTTTTCCAGCCACTCACTTAAACTTGACCGTGCACTGAGCACTAGGTGTGAAAGAAATATACATGTCTTCAAAAGTTAACAAGAAAAGGACTTTTGTTTGTTTAATTTAGAAGCTGGCATTCTGCCTCATGGTTTTTCTAGTTAATAGCAGGCAACTTCAATCTCTGCCAGGTCCTGAGAACGGCTAGAGGCACTGAGTACACAAGAGGACAGGATTTACACCTTTCTATTTGGCTGACTTCGCCTAATTTGGCAGAAGAATAATCTTTGGCATTCCTGGTTTGATGAAATCTGCAAACTAAGCGAGGTTTGCTGAACTGTTGCCTGATGTCTAGGAGTTGCTAAACTGTGATAGCATTTTGACAATGAAATGGCAAAAATAGCACAAGTGTCGCTCCTGTTATTTCTAAAACAGCTCGCGACTATCCTAGGATTTACTTACTTTTATTTTCCTGAACAATCTGGTACTAGAGACAAGGCTTGCAGTTCACATTCATCCCGCATGTATGCCTGCTTGATTTAAAAAATAAAATAAAATTGGAAATCTTTGAGGAGGAGAATTCTTGAACATCTTTAGCTGAGGTGAACCCAAACCCTTGCAAGTTAATTAAGAGCCTTCTTAAAGGCATGCGGATTGATGGCAAGGTCACAAAAAGACACTGGCCTTTTTTGGGGAAGCTCTGGGTGCCTAGATCAAAAATGGTGTTCTAGAGAATGAAAGGAAAAATAAAAAGGAAACCCTGCTCAGTACCCGTGTATACCTGGAAAGTACTTGGTGCCTGGATCTGACACTGGACATGCTCAAAAACGCTCAGGTCTGAGACCTGGCAGCCCGGCTGGTGGGTCAGCCTGGTCCTGGTGAGACCCTCTAGAGAGCAGGCACGGTGACAGCCAACCTGGGGCACTGGCACACACTGGCCTCTCCCCGCAGGAGGCTGCTGCTGGCGAGAACGTTTGCAGGGGGCCATGAGGAAGGTGGAGATGGCCCTTCCTCTGCTGCCCAGCTGCTGAGAGACGGGGGAGCTGGACCCCTGCAGGCCCCCCTTGCACCCCGCTGGGAGCTCTCAAGGCTCCGGGGGTAGAACCAGGGGTGCCACCATCCCCATACTCCTCCGACAGCCCTCCCCGGAGGGACCGGCCCTGCTGCTGACCTCTGCAGCTTGGGGGAAATATCTGCTCAGGGTCTCCAGGGAACAGCGGCTGGAGCTTCAACGCTGAACACTCTTCTTCATGGGCAAACGCACGGGAAGTGTTTCTACTGTCCGTGCAGACATACAGTTGTCCTGCATGTTTGAAACGTGCCTTACAATGGCCTTTAGAGTAAAACTGAAGGAAATCGGTAAGTAATGCTGATAAAAAAAATGAAATTTTATCATTTTGAAAATGCCAGAATATTGTCATTGTTTTGTATTTTCACTTCCTTCTGTTTTTTTATACTACATTTCTGCAACCAATACAAAGTAATGAAGCATATAACTGAACCCGTATTATTGGCTGAAAGAGGTTTCTGATGATAGCACATGCCTATCCCTCGTTGTTATAACTTCTCAATTAGAAGAACCAGAGGAGTAAGTGAAGGAGATTATAGTTCAGAATTTTCCAGGACTTTTTTATTCCTCTACTCCCAGCTAGATATTGCAGGATCCCATTGAACTGAGAAGAAGAAAATCACATTCCAGAAACAATTCTTAGTGCCTGTCTTAAATTTACTACTAGTGTTCTCTCTCCATTCTGAGACAGAAGCGTCTTACAGATTCAGATTCTCTTTACAGCGGTAGCAAAGTTGCTGTTTGCTCAAATTAAGAAATATTTTCAAGAGTGCTATGCACAACGTAGCTCATTTGAGGAACTTTGCTTGGCTTAATGGGTACAATCTGCAGACTCTCTAACAGCATTTTAAATTGAAGTAGTGATTTTAGTCATGACATGAATAAAACAACCCCTAGCCAGATAGCTGGAGCCAAATAAGCCTTGAGAAGTGGCCACAAATGATTTCAATCCCTGGAAAGAATTTGGGTCAGAAAGAGACACTAAGGAATGTGATTGCCAACCTGAGTATTGCCTGGAAAAGCTGTTACTGTTTGTTCAAATATATTTTGTTTGGTTGTTTTTTTATTATCAGCACAGCAGGCTTGTGTAAAGTACACCAGTAACAATGAGCTTCTGTTAATATACACTGTATTTATATTAGGAAGATTTTACCTTATATCTGATACGCCCATCCTGGGAAAACGGTCTTGCATATAGATTTTCATTCTAGTGTATGTAGATCTTGATACATTATGATCTTGGTTTGTTCTGCACTTTGTCTTTTAATGTCTTGAGAAACTGTCAGCCGTTTCATGGGAGTGGGTCCGTGCTACCACGTATTACCATACCATGCCCTCTCACCAGGATATTATTTATTTAGGTATTTCCTGAAGGTAAAACAAATAACTCACTGCCATCAAAAGCTTATCCTCACCATGCGTCCCTGTTATGACTGTTCAAAAAGCCAGGCTCAGCACACGTGGGCCTGATCTACCAAGCCCACTGGACTCTCTGGAAGAGACATGTGCATTGAGAGGTCATCTCATGCATGTTAACGGCAGGGTCAAGATACCTGGTATGTGATTTGGTTTTTTTTTTCTCATTTGCTTTAGGCCTTCTTTCAGACTTTCTTTCCTGGCACACTTTTCCTATAACCTGCCTTATCTACACTCTTTGCGAGCTTTTTTACAGACGACCGTCTATTTTTTTGTGCTGTCTGGTGCCGGATACGAGTACTGTTTGTTGGCCCTTTGATCACAGCGTAGTAAAGATAGTAGCAATAATCTCATGGTTTAAAGAGGCAGCTTGTCTGAATTTATTGTCGTGGTATAAAATCTGTTAAAAGATCACTTTTTGCATTGAACTTAACCTTGTGAGTTGAGAGCCGTTTAACGGCTCAAAGAGAGTTGTGTTTTTCATGGTTGTTTCACATTTTTTACATAGAACTAAAAATGGATGGTTGTAATATGCAATGTGCTTAACTACTTGGTGGCTGTGTGCCGTTACCATCTCACAAACACCTTTGGCTGCTGAAAGCCTTCCTCCCTCTGCCTCTGGTTTGCCTTTTCACCATAGCCAGGAGTCACCACCAGCACAGCTCTGCCAGAGAGCTGTATCCAGGGGAGTAAAGACACCTCCTCCGCTTCAGGCAGGTTCTGCTGGGGCAGTTCAAACAGCTGCCGAAGGACTAACCAGGGCACTTTGTCTCGGGCAGATGAGGAAAACAGCAGCACAACACCAATTTATGGGGCTACGGGAAGAGCCCTGATTTCTGGGAATGCCCATTCCAGATGCCTGGCATCTTTAGCCTGCAGAGCCAGGTCTGGAAGAGGATGTTTACTGGCAGCCTCTAAAATAATGACTGTTTTCTGAGGCTACAGTCACGCCGTCCTTGTAGCAATGGCTTTGTGGCACTTGAAGATGTCCATTCCCACCCGTAAACTGGAAATTACCCTCTTCCTGGTACAGCTCAGATGTCAGAAGAAATAATCCGGGCCCTCCTTGTGTTTCAGCACAAAGGCTCCTGCCTGTCAGTAAATGCTGGTGGGAGTCATGTGAGTTTACCCACCTGACTTTCTGCTGGAAATTAAACATTTATTTTTTTTTATACTATGCAATAGGGCTGACTGTACAGCTGCTGCGGAGTGATGGCAAACACCTGGATGTCAGTCACATCTTAAACTGGCACAGCTGCTTCTCCAGTAAATACCTGACCCAAGACTGAAGATTAGTCACTTGCTGGACAAGGCTTTCTATGGCAGCATAAAGGACCTGGAAAGTATGCAAACTACAGCTGGCTAGAGATTTCTCCTGTGCAGAAGTAACTTTGAAAACAATACATATATTTTAGAAGGAGGAAATTCCTATGCAGGAGGCCTAGAGGTTTTTACCTGAATGTGAAAAGGCCACAAATGTGCAGGCATTTTAAGTACACAAGGCCACCAATTCTCTGTCACTTAGCTAACAGGAAATGGCAAAATAGCTGAGGCATGAAAATCAGTCACAGCCACAAATAGAGTGATCTCTGGTGAGTGTAGCTGTGAAAAAGCAACTTCCTCCAGCCCCAAAGAAACGGAATTGGTACTAAGAAACTAGATCTCATAACAATAAAAATTTGCCAACCATCTCAGAGCACACACTCTCTGCTCCCACAGCAAAGCGGTGGGTGAACGCTACCAAATAGCTACATTATCCACCTGCATCTGATGATGCTGCCAAGAGCTGCCAGTGGTGTTACTTCTCAAGTGAGCACCTCAGTAAATCCTGAGCTTCTGTTTTGGAAGACTAGCCCTGACAAAACTCGCTGCTTGGACTCTGACTTGGTATTTAGCAAATTACTGAGCTTCGTTGACAGGTTCAATAACGAAAGATCTGTTGCATCTGTAGGTAAAAAGTTTTAAGGAATAATTACCTTTGCTGTTGCATTGGTTTTGATCTTCCTTCACTTTCCAAGCATTTTGTGGAGCCGCCTTTTCCTACGTGATTTAAACAGCAGTACTCTCAGAAACCACTTTCCTATGTGGGTTCTTCATACACCATGACCAGGTCACCCCAAACCTTTTGGTAGGTGTTTGTATAGCACAGTGGTACTGCACAACCTTTTAACTTCACTTGGGTTTGTGCACAATATTTTCTTCTGTGGTTTGTAACAGAAACTTTTTTTTCTGAAAATTTGCCTTGCGTGTTTTGAAGGGTCCCTCTCGTTCGGGCCATCTTCTGACACATGATGCACGCACTTGTTCTCCTTTAAGAGAAGATTGTTGTGATGTGGTAAGAAAAATTTCTGAACCTGAACCATTTGTCTAACCGCACCGTTGCAGCTTTCACTGTTGGTTGCAACTGCTGTAGCATGATTTTTTTGTTTTTTATGTGAGCATTGTACAAAAGATTTGCTCTGGCCAAATCTGTCGCGCTACTGGAAGTCTGTAAAAACTCTCTGCCTGACAGTGAGGCAGGGGTCTCACAGCTAGAAAACGGGGATGTAACGCAAGAGTCTGCCTTTTCTCAATGTGACACCACCCCCTCTTCCAGCAGTAGCAGTGTAGTGAGGACACAGGGATTTATAGAGTTACCTGCTGCCTTATTTGAGAGAGACCAAGGCAGGGTGTGTAAGAACCCGATGGCACAGTAGGTACAGCAATTGCTGCCCCGAGAGAAGCTGCAGTGCTGGTGAATTACAGGCCATCAGCTTGCCGGTGTATTTTGCAGTCATATTGTGCAAGATGACTGTCGAAGGCATGCGTTAGAGACATGAGTTTGCACTTGAACTGAGACCTGACTTAGTCTGTTAAGGACTTCATTATTATTCCATGTATTATTCCTACAATCCTGAAGTGGGTCAGGTACTGAAAGGGAAGCCAGTGCTGGCTGAACAGCATTAATTTTGGTTATTACGTGCGTTGTCTGGTTAGACCTGTTTTTAAAATGTGCCACTACATGATGCGCTCATTACAGCAACCTCATCCTCTCTCCTGCCAGTCCTCAGCCCATGAACAGCCCATGAACAGCCCACTCCGAGTGCGCCGGCAGCAGGGGCAGACCTTGGGCAAGAGGCTGGTGGTGGAGCCTGCTGCTGGGCTGGCTGGTGAGACACAGGGAGATCCAAGGGAGAGCTGGGATCCAAGGGAGAGCTGGTGGGAGAGCCCACCAGCAAGGGCTTTGTCTCTTATGGCAGGTCACTAATAGAGAAAACAGGGTTGAAACGGTACCTCAGCAGCTTTTTTTTCCGCCCGCTTGCAAGAATATTTGAAAGCACTTTAGTCTGTTTTAATTCTGAAACTGTTGAGCTGTTTAGACTGTCATATTTTAGCATTTACTCTATTTGTGGTGGCATTTGCATGCAACAGAAATTAAATTTAAACACAGCCCAGCCAAATGTTCTAAGCAGCGAGTTGCCATGAGGGAACAAGCAAACAACTTCGTGCTGCCTGTTTTCCATCTTGCCTTGTCCCTCCGCAGCCACTCAGTGCACCCCAGGCCTCTCGGCCATCCCCACTGCCTCCACCACGTGAAAAAAAAAACAAAAACAAACCCAAACAAACAATAAAACCCAACTGTATTACTTTTTTACAAGAAAAAGAAAAAAAGAAATAAAAAACAACCAAACAAAACAAAAGACAGTATTTGCATTATTTCTGTAGAAGGAAGAAAGGAGAGTGAAAGCCCCTCCAAAACGGCACAGCTACCTGATAGCTTTATTATGTTGAATTATACCTCTCCCTGAAGTCCTGTGACGCAGGGATGGAGGAAGCTAAAACCAACCTTTTTCTTTATTCAGGACGCACAGGAAAGAAAAGCACAAATCCCAAACTGGATGGAAACGATCTGAAACAGCGTGCCTTGAAATTGTTCTGTTTCTTTGAAGAGAAATGTAATAGTGCTCTGGTAAATCCTGTTTCTGAATATTTATCATGCTTTTACAGGACCCTATTGTCGCTGTACCTACTGTAATCTATGAACCTTGTATGCAAATCAGTCAGTTATTGTTTGGATTTGCAGGGGAGGGATTAAGGCACTAAAAGTATAAATGTATCTGGTTGTCCTGAGCTGTGTTGTTCTTTCGGTGATTTGGAGGAAGATTCTGCTTTTGGCAGAATCCTCAATACAATCTATTAAAAACCACCCTGTGGTTCATTCATTAGATGCTGGTCTTGTTGATGCATATCTCTCTGTTGTTCCAAAAAAAACCAAACCCAAACCTTTTTTTTTTTCTTAGGTTCTAGAAATTGTGATGAAAAGAACGATTTGTTTACTGTATCTCCTGCATTAGTAACATGGGAAGGTGAGGGAACTGTCTTAGACATATGGTTGTTGTGTCACACATCATTCGTGCAAATCTGAAAGCAACCACCGTGTGCTGTGATGCAGGCACTTACCGAAAAGAAAAAAGAAGAGAAAAAACAAAAAAGCCCTCCCCCTGATTCGGGGCTTTAAAAAGAGAGAACTCACTGTTTTTCCCACCATGATATGCAAATGCTATTTTGCTGCTTTTTTTTTTTGCTTTTTTTTTTTTTTTTCCTTACAGAAATATTTTTTTTTTTGATTTGTGCTTGTGTACTTCATAGTCAAATATCACTGATGGCTGCGGGGGTGAGAGAATCTGTAAGGAAGACCTGAGAATATGTATGTATGACCCCTTGCGAGTGATGTTTACTTTCAAAAAAGACCTTGGTTCCTGGCTTTGGTGGAGCATGATGTAGCTTTGCCAAGGAAAAAGTCACCATTTGAAATAAAGAAATCATATCCTCACAGGTATATAGAGAATTTTTTTCTATAAGTTAAACACGAGCCATGTTCTTCTTTTAGAGGCCTGATTATCAAAATGTAAGTTGAGATTGATTCTAATGTAAGATACTCTTCACATTCTTCTAAAATTTCTGCCGCCCTTCACATGATTAAGGTAAGTGCTAAATTAGATTATAAAGACGGTGTTTAAATAATTGAAGATTTGTTGCCACCTTCAAGATACACATCAGTGAAAAGGGTCATCCTTCTTGTGGTGACAGAAAGATGGCAACATGTCATTTAGGTGAAAATATTCTGTATGGATGGATGAGCAGGCACCTGAGCAATCTCCACAATTAGTTAGTGACATCGATATCTAAAATCAGAGGACTGATAGGACGTCAGAAAAAAAAATCAAAACAAAACCAATCAGTAAATGACTGCTTTGGATAATGCTGAGCTCTTCTCTGCGCAGCATAAATTATTTTGGGGGCCTTGGTACCTCTCCCTGATGTTGTGGTCGGTGTAAGATGCTGCAATGCACAGACATGACCTTTCAACAAGGGTGACCATTCTTCTGCAGCAGAACCGTTACTTCACTGCTGGACTAACAGAAGATACTTAAGATATGTATGTGCGATAGCTGAGATGGCTCAGTTAAGCAACAGGGTGGCTAACTCTTCCTATGTTAATCTGTCCTTCTCCACCCATCTGTCTTCCTTCTGGCTTCGACCCACCTAGAATTAACATTAAAAGCACTTAACGAACCTCTAAATTAGTTCTTTGTCTAAGCTCAAAGGCTAATTTTTAGCAAAACTTCATTTTGTACATTATGTATGGAAATAGAAAATTTGCACTAAAAAAATAGTAATTGTCTTCACCTTGGACAGTCACAGAACAGACCTCAGACACGAAGGGAGGAGCTACGGGTGATTTTCTATACAGCAGATATCCCCACGGGGTCATAAATCTGCACAAAAAGAAGGCACAGACTGCAAATTCACCTCTTAGTAATAAAGTTAGAACTAGCAATATACTTATGCTAGCGTGTTGTTGCTCACAGTGTAAAATAAAGCTACTTGAGAACTGAGATCACTTGGTTGGAAAGCAATTTTATTTTTGTTATGCACACTGTGCCCGACTGAACGGCAACTAAGAGTGAGTCAGCACTTTTCAGACTTTTAGATAAAAAATAAGTCCATTAGTAGCAACTTGGATGAAGAGAAGGAAAGAGGCTGGTGGTCCTGGGCTGCCATAAGCATAAGGCCAGTAATTAGAGAAGTTAATCTACAATCTGCAGTAATGGATACAGTAAAAGTAAATGAAATGCCAGTTTGTGGGGAAAGTTTTGGTTTTTGGAAACGGCACTAAATTTCTTGAAAAGCCGCATTTTCAAATGACTTGATCTTAACTGCCCCAGAGTGGGAAAAAAACAAGAAAACCACCATATTTAACATAAGAGGCTGTCCTCATTTGGCAAAGGAAGTACTTAGGAGGAATAAGATTGAAATTATAGTGAAACAATGTAGAAGCCATAATCTTCCTATTAACAAATGGCAATCTTTCCCTTCTCATCTCATCTTTTGTTTCATCTGCATCTTGACTATACTGTAATTTTGAAAAGGACTGGTTCCTGTTGCATAGTCATGTTGCAATCATTGTTTAGTGTTGCTCTTATATAATATCTTCTCTAGGCGTATATACTTAATTCTGATCAGATTAAAAAAATGTGTTGTAGATGAACACGTGTAGTCCCAACGGTAAGCTGTAACAAACTAAAAGAGACAAAAATAGTGAAATTACTATTACAGAAGGGAAGCTAACTCAATTATGTTGCTTCCATGCCCCAAGGGCACGTGCTGCATAGAGGCACTTGTAGGAAACCAGTAATGATAGAGGTACGTGGAGCTGGATATGAAATGTACATCACAAGACGCCCTGGTATTCAGAGTCCAGTTTAAGAGTCACCTGTGAGAAATTCTCTTCCTGGCTATGCCACATACTTCCTCTGGGGGCTCTTGAGCATGGCACGTTTTGACCCAGATTTCAATTTCTTCCACTAACTTTTCAGTTAGTCCCTTGGCGACTGGGACCTAGATTTTCTCTGGCTGACCAGCCCGACTTAAGAAGGTACCATGCACCTACAAAGCTTACAGAATATGTCCTTTCCAAAACATTCTTCCCTTTTACAGCAACTGTCCCATCCTGTCCTGAATGTCCTATATTTAACCCCGTGCTCATGTTAAATGTTGCCTCAGGTGGCACCCTCACTCCTCAGGCATGCACGGCGACGAAAACACAAAACATAAATAAATAAAAATGCCTTGCATCATGCTGTTCTGTGAGGCTCTGCGGAGGGATACGCCTACCGGTGACATGAGTCAGAGGGACAGAATTGACACCCGGGAGACTTCAAAGGGCGAGGAGTAGGAAAAGGAACAAGCCGCCTTTCCTTTTTGCAGGTGTGCACAGCCAGGTTAACACCGGGCACCCAACGCAGGGGCAGGTGCGGGGACAGGGCTGGGCTGCCACCCCCTTCCCCACAGGCCCGAGAAGCCACAGCAGTGCCCAAGCCCCACGCTGCCAGGCCCCTCACGCCTCCCTGCATGGGAACCTGCGCTTTAACCCTGATGACACATCTGTCACGAGCCCAGGATGTGGGATATCCACAGGGAGGGGGTAGGATAAAGTGCCCAAACCCGCACAAATAGCCCCCAAAATAAGCAGCCCCTTCCCCTGCGCCGCGGGCAGGCCCCAACGCCCCTGACTGGACGCCTTGGCCCCGCCCCGCCGCCTCGCTCTCCGCCAATCAGCGCCGCCCTTTCCT